TTGCTGCTGAATTTGCTTTAGTCTGCATACTGGTTGAGCGATAATCTTAAAATAAGTGTGAAGAAAAGAAACGCTTTTGACCTGGCGTAGAATAACCAATATTTAAGCTAGTCTTTTCTTTTAACTATTGTTAAAAGCCCCAGTCTGGCTCTAAAAAATTTATTATGGGTTAAAAATCGCTTGCTATATGAAAAACGGAGATTTTTTTTTTTTGAAGTGGACGATAATAATTTTATTTGTGTAACGTTTATATTGAATGACACTTGATCTGCAATGTCCCGCGACTAATATACTTGAACATTATGTCACAAGGAAATTTTGGGGATCAAAAATTTAGTGACCAGTCGTAAGCAGTCCAATAATGTGATCATGATTTTACTCAATATCCCTAAAAGTACAATAAATAAACTTATGCTTATTGGCTGATCTGGCTCAATCCGATTTGTTGAATTTTTAGGCTTTACTTTTTTCTTTAGTTCCAGATAATCGAATTTTAACGTGACCTGATTTGCAAATTGGATTTCTATTTGATGCATAAAAAAGATCATGACGGGTTCAAACAAAATCTATTGACTGAGTTTAAAACACACGTGTTCGAGTTATTTTTTTACCCGCAGAGAAACTTTTACTTGGTAATTTAGGGCCAAAGTGTGGAACGCACTTTTTCAAGAATGACACAAAATTAAAGTTCGATCAAAATCTTTTTATTCAGGATTGAGGCACATGTATTCAAGTTATATTATACTCCCAGAGGATCTTTACGCACCATACAAGTTGTGTTTTTTTTGAGTATCTCATGATCGAAGTTTTGATTCCTGAAACTACTGCTTGTGTTGATATATTAATGTTTAATAACACCGATTATATGTAATATTTTATTTAGTATATGAGACTAAATATGGCCCCTCAATTAATTGCGACACGTAAAAATTGAATTGCGGTTGCGGCATATTGATATGAAAATTGAATTGCGGCTAATTGCGGTTCCCATCTTTAGTTCTGATGGTTAATATCTGATCTTTGAGGGACCCAGATTTTGTTTGATAATGGTGGTGGAACTTTGTAGGTTGATCCTTAATATTTGAGACAGGATATTATTAATATATAATCCTACTCAGATCCATGGATTGGGTGAAAAATACACATAAACTTCCTTTTTTAAAAAATTTCTCTTTTTAAACGAAAAAAACATTGCACGAAATTAAATTTGTTTTATTCTTACGTTAATAAAGAACTCAAAATCCCAGAAATTATTCCAAAAACATTACTGAAATTGTGGAATCAAGTTCAAAAAAAAATTGCGGCAAGGAAAAAGAGATGTAAAGGATCCAGGATTTAGAGTGAGATCTTCTTATGTAGGAAAAATTAATCTCATAATACAGCAATCGTTTGCAGTATAACAAGCTCAATATTTTCAATCCATGAAATATCAAATTATTCCACGTTTGAATTTATTATTATAGTGTTAATTAATTAGGAAATCGTGAGATAAAGTCAGTTATTCCACGATCAGCGTCGATCTCATTATTATCACAGCTCCGCGTGATAAGCAGATATCTTTGGTTTTCCCGTGAAATTACTATTACATATCAGACTTAATATGGGAATTGGTTTTTAAGCTCCAGAAAAGGAAATAGGCTCACTTGACCATCAAAAACTTTCCCATTATCCATTATCACTTGGATAAACACGGGAAGGAGGCTTGGGATTAATATTCAACAAAAATATCAAGGGCTTATTTCCACTTGTCAAGACATTTTCATTAGGCGATGCATTTTATTTATTTAATGCTTTATAAATTTAAGTCAATGTATTGCTATTTTTTTTATTACTATCGCGGTGTCAAGAAAAATTTATAGTGTTGGTGGTGGTAGTGATAATCGTAATGCCATAGATACAAGTTGTAATAAAAAAATAAGATTATTATTATCATCATCATTATAACTTGCCCAATATAAATATATTTTGTTAATATTTAACTTATTCCAAATGATCTGATAAAATATACCAAATACAAATAATTTCTATTTTCTAAAAATAAATAATCAATAATAAAAAAAAAATGATCGCGTAACGGATTGTACACTGTCAGATCGTTCAACCTTTGCAACCTTTAAAAAAAGAAATAAATATATTAATAAATAATTAATAATAAAAAAAAAAAGATCGCGTAACGGATTGCACACTGTCAGATCGTTCAACCTTTGCAACCTTTAAAAAAAGAAATAAATATATTAATATAATCACACATACCTTTAATAATAGCAGTAACATCAGTGCTTGTATCTTGAAATAATTATTTACATTGATATATAAATGTATAAATAAAACCATTAATAAAATTTTCTTTTCTTTTAACCTATATATATTACATATTAATAACATCTCCATCAGATCCTTGTAATGCATTAATAAATAAATACTTTTTAATTTAATCATTACACTTCTAAATATATATAAAAAATAGATGAAATAAAAATTAATGAAGCTAACCTTTAAAAATATTAAAAAAACCAAATTAATTCCATTTTATTAATAGCCATTCTTGAAAAGAGTCTGTTACGCGAATTTGGTTTTGTTTGAAATATTAAATAAATTTTGTTTGATACAATCTTCTATTTCATCCAGCAATGTATATTAAATATATTAATATTATTAGGTAAAATGTTTATTATTATTATGAAAATAATCTTTAAAAAGCAAATTTGAAGTTAATACTTTTCCATAAACAAATTATGTAATTTAAAAAAATAAACATTTAAAGAACTTAACTATTGCATTTATTATGAAAAAAATTAAGCCCAGTGAAATTGTGCATGTTATCCAGTTTCTTAATTTATTATTATTATAGAACTTATAGAACTGGTAGTCCAACTTCATGTTAAGATTATCGCTTAGTGGTATTTGTTTACCCTGGCAAAAAATACATCAAAATAAAGGTTTTTTCATATATTTGTTATTTTTTATGATTCAAGTAACAATTTGATTAAATCAGGCAAGTTTGTGTATGAAAGCGTGATTTTTTTCTTCATTTTTTCATATAAAATTCCGTGTTGATCAAAAAATTTTTATTAGTGAGTGACACTTGACCCCCTGTAGATCCGCAATGTCCTGCGACTGATATGTTAAGTGAAGAAAAAAAGACTATTGATGATAATGATAGATGTGTAATTGTTGATCTTGTGAATGGAAAGTTACAACGTTGTAAAAATACTATATTTCGTCCTCTTCGTCAACTTTTGGGTATCTGGGAATTAGATTTTGATGAGGTTAATAAAGCCATCAAAGTGAACCAACCAGATGCGACAGCTCTATTGGGTACATGCTCAAGTCACTACAGTTTTGATAATAAAAATCATTTATCACATTTAAAAAACAGTGTTCCTACTCATGACGCATGGATATATAAAAGACGTTGTTTGTTTTGTAATTATGATAAATTTTATTATAGTAGAGGAGATGGATGTACACAACATTCTAAGAGCGTTTTAGAACGAAATGTTCATGTACCATGTTGTGGTTTAAAAGTTTGTCCAGTTTTTGTCGAAAATATTTTTGTGGTTCAACAAATGAAACATATCCACGATATATCTGCACATTATGTTTTGAATCCGAAGGGGGACACAATTACCAACAAAAAGGTAGAGGTGTGAAAGCATTGCACACTTGTATTGAAGACCACAATGAAGACAATTCCAAGTCTCTCAAGCTCTTTGGAGAATGGTTACAAAATATTTCAACATCATCTGATCAAATAATTAAAAATTTACTTCTTGAAGAGCTCTCAGTTTCACTTTCAAAATTTTTTAAAAGAAAACAATTGTTACAAACGCAACCAACTTCTATATCTGATGGTAAATCATTATTACTTAAACACCAATTTGATAAAATCCAAATAATTTTGCTTCGTGAAGTTGAGGAGTCAGTAAGAAATCTTTTTATTTTTTTTTATTTGAAATTTATCATAATATAATTAATCATTGTAAATTTGTTAATTATAATTTAGAAAATTTTTATTTCAAGTGGTGAATGCTTTTTACAAAGCAAAATTCTTCATTAATACAATTAACATAACCCATGAAGAACAACTTAAAGATATCTTCTATCAATTGAGTATTAAAGGCATTTTTGCAGTTATCCTTATAAAAAAAGATAGCGCATTAAACCATAATGTAAATATGAAAATTTACAAACACCAGTATCAAGATACTACTAAATATGATGGTTAGTTTTTTGATTTAGTATCAATTATGTATGAATAGATTTATTTATTTATTTCATATTAAATGTAATATATGGGGCATGCTGCAACAAAACCGGACAAAGTGAACATTAACATAACAAGAAAATCATGGGGGGGGTTAATATTACCATTATGCAACAGAACCATTGTGCTGACGTCTAAATTATCTTCTCTAGATATTTAATAAAATTAATTATATATCAAATGGTCTTTTCTTATAGACAAAGATTATGTGCAAGATTAATTAATATTTAATAAAAATTGAATAAAATATATAATAATATTATTATTGTTATGTATTACAGATGTAATATAGTAATTTTATATCATTAATGTCATTTCCAATATGTTCTAAAAGTATTGCACCATGGAATTTTTTTTTTTATAAAATATAACTTGAATTGCAAATGTTATATCTATCAACAGCTTTCACTCCTTCAAATATTGCATTCCTAGCCAGCTCACCAGGTAAAATTAACTTAATTGCATATTGTATATCATGTGAAGTGATTGTTGATCGTTTATTGTAGGCTGCAAGTTTTGAAGCTTCACTGGATATTTTCTCAAACATATCATTGATGAAGTCATTTAATATTAACATGGATTTGTGAGAAACATCAATGTTAGGATGAACCTTGAAATTATAAATATCGATTAATCTTTTGATTAAATAGTGAATAAATATATAGATATTAGTGAATAATATACCTTATTTAATACTTTACGTAAATAGATATTGTAATAGATATAAGTTTCACAACGAGTTTTCTTTTCCTTTTCTATTTTTCCCAATTAATCTTTGTTGTGAATCTTCTGCTGAATGCTGCGTCATTTCTTCAAATTCCACATTAACATTTGATATATCACCTATTTCTTCGTCCATAACCATAACAGAACCATCATCATCATTATAATTATTTATTTTATTGTTAAGTGAGTTTAAATAATCCTGAGTAATATTAATGTTTTCTTGCTCTTCCTCAAAAATAACATCAATATTATTTTTATTATCTTCAATAATATCGAGGGTAGTTTCCAACAGATTTTTAAATGTATTCTAAATATATATATCCATTACAAATAAACAAATTAACTTGCAATTTCATTTAAAAAGATTGAGACTTGTATGTTCAAAAAGCTGTAATTTACTTACGATCTTGTTTGTAATGGTAGAACTAAAAATAGAACAAAAATTTTTTTAATCAGTAAACTAGATTGACAAGTTGGTGACAAAAGTAACAAGTTGCATGTAGCAACCATTTTCAAGTTACAATGATCGCAACTACCACAATCACCATCATTCTTAAAACACTTACCCTTTTTTTACCAGCTCATTTTCACGTTTGCTTCTTCTTTTTTTGTTGGTGACAGAAAACATTTTGTTTTTTATTTTTTAAAAAAAAATAAATAATAATTAACATTATTATTGGCCTTGGTGTTGCACAAGATTTTTTTACGCGAATTGATTTTTTTTTTTTTTTTTTTGGAAAAATTTATTTGAGTCCAAGATGACAAAATGTGAGTCTCTAAAGAAGACGTGTTAATAACAGAGGCACTATTTTTTATTTGCGTTGTTTTTTTTTGGAATCAAAATGTGGAGCAGATCATTGCTGGGTAAGTATAAGATTCTTATCAAGATTGTGTATTTTGCTTTTCATAATTGTTATCAATATTAATATTAAATAATAATAAATAATTACATGTCAAGGCAGCAATGTTTGATTACAGGAAATTGGCAGGCGTTGAAGCACACATGCTACCTTGAACATTACAGTCATTCTCTCATCTTCCTTGTGTACACAAGGCTAATCTGACTGCAAGGCCTTCAAGGATAAATGATGCTGTTAAATTCCAGGGGGGGCGTAAGGCCCTGGAGTTTACCAAGACTGCATCAATTGTCAATGACACTTTTACTAATCTTCCCTCACAGCCCAGACCAGAGAAATCTGCTGCCATGTTAGACAAAAAGTTGCCTGCAACGATCCTACTTCTAGGGTAAGGATGGATCTGTGATCAAGTTGCAACTCTGTTGATGAATTGTAGTGCCATGTAAACATCAAAGCAACGAGAATCTGCAACTCGTTTCAAGCACAGGGAGGTAATTTACAATTCAGAGCAGGGTTTGTGGCCCCGAAATTGCATTTGGGCTCTGAGTTAGAAGGAAAGCTGCAAAATAGTGTTTGTTTTGTATAATTATTTTCCTAAATTCTCTGTTTCTTTAATACTAACCAATTTATAATTTTGGATAGGGGACTGAACAGGGTTTTGCCCAATCAGTCCCCTGTCCTATAGATTAAAATCATTATACATCTTTGTCAGCAATATGGCCAACAAGAAAAAAGTCATAAAATGGTTTGGATTTTGGTATGTTATGCTATAAATTAATCATTCCCATAAATTCACTGTTTCTCTTCAATTTTTATTTGACCAACTGAATTTGTTATTTAAATTAGGGTAGGTTTGTTGGTGAATTGGCATGCCACCAACAAGAGGACTCAAAACTTGAATCCAAACAACAACCCTCCTGCATCAGAGAATTTTGAACCAGTTGCAGACACTGACTTTATTCTAAAGAGGTATAACACAAAGCAATCATCACACAAATGCTGATCCTCATCAGTTATCAATGTCCATATGGAAACAGACAAGCTTGGTCTGAGAGGAAGATAAGGGAAAGTTTTGTCCAAAGCCTTCTGACGTATGGATGGCCTTCACTTATGGGAGAAATTTCACAATTATGAGGGTGTGTGAAAGCACTAATTTGTATGTTTGTGACAGGAAAATTTCAATTAAATCTGACCCCTGTGATCAACATCAGATTTATTATTCATAAGGAACCATAATTGATAATCAGAAAAAATAATTTATTTTGTGAACCCCAGAGATCTGGGTAGACACACATTTATTGTTTAGACTTAAAAAGTTTCATTTCTGCATGGTCTTGGTATTATTTATTATTTGGGTGATGCAATTTTTTGTTATGTCAATGACAACATCAAATGTATTTAATAATCATAATAATCATCATGAATATTTAATGGAGCAGGTATTCACAGAAGGAAAGGATTAAATAGCAACAAAAAAGCTAATGTTAACAGAATAACGTGATTCATTATGCAATTCAATTTATTTATTTTATTTATTTATATTGTTTATTTTTATATTTATTTATTATGATCATTCCATGTACTTATTTGGTTAGAATACGGTTTAAACACGATTTCATGTTTAAACTTGAAATCAAGCATAAACAGGAATCAGGGTTAACATGAAACATACTGTTTGAACTTGAAATCGTGCTTAAGCAGTATATAAGTAATTAACATGTATAAAAGAGATGAGATTTGGATTTTTTTTGAAGGGAAGATTTTTTTGGAAGTTTTAGGTTTTAGAAATTTTTGATTTAGATTTCGATCTTAGATTTTAGGTTTGATTTGTTAATAAACAAAAGGTTTCGACCTATATAAAAATCCACATTATTTAATCAATTAAACCAAAGCTATCTGTTAGCATATTCCTCACTTCATTCTGAAATAAATAAAACTATTTCATTTGCCACCCACTATATATGCTCTCCCACATTAAAATAGTCCAGTGACACTAAGTTTGTTTTTTATCAATCAAAATATATAATTAATTGTATTTAAGAATTTATTATTTTATTCCACTTTTGTAATGGCATTAGCTTCAATAATTCTATTTCCTTAGTATTAATGATTTAATCAATATACAAGTGGTGGTCAATTTAAATGGCATTCATTTTTTTAAATGTGTAAAATTTTTTTAAAAGATGTTTTTACAATAATGATTTTTAATATTGTAAAATTTTTTTTGATAAATGAAATCTTTATTAATATTAATAAAAAATCAGGAAACATGAAATAATTATTTTTCATGGGGCCAGTTGACCAAATTTTTCAATTTCTCTTCATAAGTTACTGAACAATCATATTTTTTAAATCATTTACTTAAACCTATTCCTGATTCATCTAAGATTAATTCCATTCATATACTTCAATTTTAAAACAATTATAAAAAAACTACAAAGTGAACATAAAATTATATATATAGGGATAAGTGTATATGAAAAGTATTAACAAAAGTAATAAATATAATGGTTCTAATGAATATGAAAAGGCAATCAATTTTTTAGAAAAAGGTTGTAATTGTGGTTGCTCTTCAAGAATTCCCAAAGAAGAATTTGCAGAATTAAGGGGATCTTTTCAAGCTCTTTCTAAAGTAGAACAAGACATATTTTTAATGGCCCAACTTAAAGCAATGGATGGTGGATCAATAAGTACTAGTAGACGTCTTAAAAAGAAAACCAGATCTAATAAAAGAACTTTCTATCAATGGGATCACAATACACTCCTTTGCCAAGAAACTTATCTCAATATGTTAGGAATTGGTAGGACTTATTTTGAAAATATTAGAAATCATCTAATAAATAATGGTCTTCTACCAAGAATTCATGGTAATATTAAAAGAATGCCTCAATGGAAAACTAAAATGGTGATTGATAAAAATGTTGCTGAAGTAATAAAGAATTTTCTAGAAAATTATGCAGAAGTCCATGGATTACCAAGTCCAGGAAGAAATATCAATAGAATAACTCAATCAATCACATTCTTACCAGCTGAAATGAGTTATAAATCTGTGTACAGGGATTTTCTGGCTGGTCTAGAAGAAGATAATAATTTGAAATCCTTAAAATATGATGCATTCAGAAAATTATGACATCAATTGACACCAGAAATTTAAATTATGAGTCCAAGGACTGATTGTGTGATACTTGTCAACATTTTAGAGATAGTTTACATTTAGTGTTCCATGTCGCAATCCAAAAAAAGGAAACCAAAGTGGTTGCAAAGTGGTTGCAACCAGGTGTCGCAAACCATTTTTATATGTCGCAACCATCACCAAGAATTGCGACCAGCATCTATATTTACATTATAATGCTCATCAAGAGGAAGAAGCCAAAGATTTACTCAAAAGATTTAAAGAACATCTGTCTAAGGCCAAAGTGGAAAGAAATTATTATAATAAAAACAAAATTAGCAGAAGAACAAAGAAAATTAGTTAATCAACATCATTCGAAAGGGTAAAGCACAATATTGCAGTATTGATGCTACTGCTCATTATAGTTATGATTGAGCCCAGAATGTTCATGTACCACATTTAGATCAACAAGTAAGTAAAATTTATTATCTTAGTCCATGTAAAGTTCATTTATTTGGTATTCAAGATGAAGCAGTAAGGGAACAAATTAATTATGTTCTTAATGAAGATGAAATTATAGGAAAAGGTCCTAATGGCACTCTTAGTTTGATCTTTGATGGAATTAAGAAATTGAATAAAGGTGAAAAACATTTAAAGATTACTTGTGATAATGCTGGTGGACAGAATAAAAATAACACCACTATTTGATTTTATTTATATTTAGTAATTTGTGGTTATTATGAAAGTATTGAATTGAATTTTATGATTCCAGGGCATACCAAATTCAAATGTGATGGTAGTTTTGGATTGATTAAAAAGCTCTACAGAAGAACAAGAGTAGATTGTCTGGACCATGTGGTTGAAGTGGTGAAAAAGTCTAGTCCAGCTGGATTAAATAAAGCTCAGTGTCATGAAGGTGGAAAAGGTTTTCAATATTTGGATATCAAATCTATTTTGGGAATTTATTTCAAGAAATTACCAAGTATACAGAAATTTCAACATTTTCTTTTTAAAGCATCTAATCTTGGTACAGTGAAAGTTCAAGAAGTTGCTAATGGACCTTTTACTGAATTCAGTTTAATGAAAACCAAGAAAGTAGATATTTTGGAAGAAATTAGAGCTTTATCTATTTTAGTGTTAACACCACCTTCTTTGGATTACAAAAGACAAGAATATCTTTATCATAATATTCGCCCATTTGTGAAAGATGAATACAAAGATATTACTTGTCCAAGACCATTCTATACTGGCAACAAATAAAATATTCAGAACAAAATCACCTTCATTATTTCATCACTTCCTTGCTGTTATCAAGTTTAATAAGTTAATCTTTTAACAAATATTGCTAACTTTTCCACTTTTAAAGTAAAAAGTACTAAAATAATTTATACTTAACATACCTTTATAAAAAGGATATAAGTATACTAAATGAATAAATAAAAAAAGAAACAAACAAGAAAATCATGACAAACATCATAAATGAACAACAAAAAGAAAATAAAGAACTATTAAATGAAATAAAAACACTAAAAAAGCAATTA